AAGTTTCATATGGTAAATTATATTTTTTGTCGATTTAGAGCAATATTTTAGGGAGCTTTAAAATAATGAGAAATCATTTTATGATCGAAAAAATTTGAGGTAATTAGTATTGACTATTTAAATAAAGAATAGAATATAAATGAACAACTTTAAATAAATTTTCTTTGATCGAATGAATGTAATTAGAACATTTCAAGATTTCTAACTATTTTAAATAAGAAGTAGAAATAGACAGCTTAAGAGAATTCTCCGAACTAAAATGGTTGATATTTATCAAGTACAAAATAATCAAGATGCAAAATTAATAAAATGATAAATGAAAAATATTTCGATGTATGAAAGATTTATCTTGCGCTTGGAGATTAAACTTACTAGGTTTAGCATTGCAAGTTCTCATGCATTCATCCAATGTTTCAAAATTATTGCCATTTCCAGAACATCCTCCGTAGATGAAATCCTTACAGGCTCCAGTTGTGGAGTCAAAGAAGAATCTTTTGAGGTTGGCTTTACAAGGTCCTGAAGTTGCCGGAAGAGTACAGATTTCCGGAACCGGATATCCTGAAGCTGTCATTAGTTCATTATCTGAAGCTAACAAAAAAGTTGAAAAGCTTGACCTCCATTATGGTGTTTTTACTTTTTTTCTGCTGATAATCTGGGTGTGGTTAGATGCAATAAATGAATTGAAATCTATATCCACTCCTTCATACACACGAATTAGATCACTAACTTTCCAAAGAACAAGTGACTGTGAACGGTCGCATAATCTACACCAATGAATAAAATCAGAAAAGACCCAGAAAATGAAATTGTTGAGGTAAGTGAGACTATATAGTTGTGCGATTTATCAGTAAAAATTCATCACAACTTGGTTGCTGTTAACCCAAATTTGCAGAAATGGATAATTGGAATATTGATTTATTAAAGGGTGTGAAGCACAAGGCACTGTGAATCATTTGAAATTTTAAATGTGTTAACTGAATTACGCAAAAATTGAATTATGTGTTGGCGAAATATTGAAATGAATAAGGTGTGATTTCGCGTTTTCTTCAAATAGCCGACTAATAGGCCCCTTCACGAATCATATTGAATATAATACTAGGGGTTCCTTATGAGAGTTTAAAGGACATTTCGTAGGTACTAAGACACAACTTTGAGCATTGTAGTTTCTTTAATTACTGTCTCAATTGAAGGTATGTGGAGTGCCATTACTAAAGTAAAAGCATACAGTATTCAGCTTTCATTGACAGTCAATGACATTGGCCGAATTCATGAGATTAAAGGATTTTCGAAAGTGTTTAATCAGATTATTACAGCAGGAAACAAAGTAAGTATTACTTACTATAATAGGACAAAATTATTTTCTTAAAATCATATTAATTCCTGAGATTTAAAATAAATAAATAATGAGTCATACCTCTAAAATACGAAAACGGCGACTGACCATTTTTAGCTGCAATAATAAGCCAAGTAACAACACCAGCCAAAGCTGCAGTTGCAATAACGAAGAACGCCAACCAGAATTTAAGACAATTAACGGTTTTCTTCCTCGCACCATTCACCACAACATATCTACTTCCACTCATCCTTAGAAGCAGACAAAGATGTTTCACACCTCAGAACGAAAACAAAATGAATCAGAAAGACAATAGGTCTCAGTTGTGCGTGCACACACGCTAACACCAGAAAAAGCAATAATAAGTGTGTAACACTGTATCCTCCGATTGGGTTTAAATATGCCTCGTGGACTAACCAATAGAACTGCAAACCTCCAATGTTAGCAACAGTGCCAGAGATCGCGTAACCGAGTAGGAGTTTCTCTCTCTTAGCTAATTTCAATTCAGGTGCCTTACCATGCACTTCTGAAGGCACCCATTTGGCAACAAATGCTTGAAAAAGCGTGTGAGTGAAGGATTCGATAGAAGGTAGGTGCTCCAAGATACAGTCACAGCGTCACATGGTAACCACAGCACCTAGGTGATGACAGTTGTCAATTTTCTACCTCTACCTCTCGTTCTCAGATTATTTTGGTTTTTTTTTAATGTAAATAGGCACTTCTTTCGAGTGTCACTTTTCGGCAAATCTGTTGATAAGTAGAATAAAGTGTCACACTATTATGTAATGCGATTTTATACGGAGTCACATTTATTTTGGAACTGGACGTTATTACTGAAAAGGTTAGAGGTTTTGTTGCCTTTTCAAATCGCTTTGAGATTGAAATTGATCTTACTTAATTTCAGATAATTGATCAAGTAGGAATGAACTCAATTCTAATGAAAGATTCATAAACAGGGCTTTGAAATTCTCATTTTTTTAAGAACATCCAGTGCTAATGAAGGCGGGGTG